AACGATTGCAACCACTGGTTGCAACCACCTTTACAACCATTTTGTTTCCTTTTTTGGATTGCGACATGGAACACTAGGCCCACTGTAAACTTACATAAATAGTGTAATAATTATGCAAATCTGTGACAGAAAAAATTTCCTGATGTTATTACAAGCAACTATGGAGAGGACTATTCTACAAATAGATGAAGGTGGTGTTACATATATGAGAAAACATCCATTCAAAACTACAATGGATTACATCTTGAATGAAAGTGATATTAATGATGAACTTATATCTAAATCTTATGAGATTGATAAATTTATTCACTATGCATCTGAATTTAAATTTAAGAAAGGATTATATATTGATGTTCAAATAGCACAGTACAAAATTGCCAGAGGAGGAAGCTATATAAAAACTCCAAAAGGATTAGCTAACAAGAAGGCAACTATAAATCTTGATTGGTCACATTTACTTGCATCAGGAAATTTTTCCCGCCGCAATATTACGTCTGTAAATTTTAATATGTAAAGTTGTAATATTTGCATAAAAATTATGTAATATTTACACTTTGATGTAATAATTGCATAATTTTTGTATGCTTATTTGCATAATATTACAGGCCTGCCATAAACTTACATAAATAGTGTAATAATTACGTAAATCCATGTCAGAAAAATTTCCTGATGTTCATTGAAAATTATTTCATCATAGTGTTCCATGTCGCAATCCAAAAAAGGAAACAAAATGGCTGTAAAGGTGGTTGCAACCAGTGGTTGCAATCATTTTTATATGACACAAAGATGGTAGCAACCATCATCAAAAGTTGCAGCCGGTATCCTTATTTCATCAACAATCATTTTGTTGACATCCATTTTGTTGAAAGTTTGTTTCATTGAAAGTTCATTTTGTTGAAAGTTCATTTTGTCAAATGTTCATTTTGTTGAAAGTTTGTTTCATTGAATGTTCATTTTGTTGAATGTTCATTTTGTCAAAAATTATTTCATCCTTGAGCCAGAGACTGAACAAGTTAGATGTGAGGAGTGTGGGAAGTTAGTTAAGAAATTAGGTAAGGAAAGCGGTGTGTGTGGGAAGTGTGAGGAGAAATTTGTTTAATGAAGTTTTTTTGTGACGAAATAATTTTCAACAAAATGAACATTTGACAAAATGATTGTTGATGAAATGAATCAGACACATATGATCAATAATTTATTGAATTTTTCTTGGCATCAGCATGAAGAATCTTCATGCTCACATTATTTTTTATCTGCTAATGTTTTTCCATATTGATTGGGGAATGGCCCTATTGCTCAGTCTGTCAACAAACAATATTAATATTCCATTGAAAAACACAGCATCAAAATACACTTGTCATAATTGAAATGAAATTAAAAAAGGACGAATGGACCAGAGTAATGCGATACAGAGATCCTGACATTATTGAAGAAATGATCCTAAAAGCCCAATTTGGAATTTGCGGTGGCAATAAGGACTAGAGGCCTGCACGGGTCATCATAATTTAATGGTTACCCAACCTGAACCCGTATAAATTTATAATTTGCAACCCAAACCCAACTTGTATATACACAAGAAATTTCAATCCAAACCCGAACTCAACCCATTTAACAACATTGTAACACAATTTTATTTAAAAAATAACTCTTATTGCAATTGTTCGTTACAAGAAAGAAAATTTTACTATATGAGCTTCTTTATACAAGAATACTATCAATTGTTTGTGGATTTAAATTTGAGCGAAGCTCATTAACTGTAAGTCCAGCTGCACTAAACTCTTCACTAGGTGCACTGTAACATATAATAGACAGCAAGCCTTGAAAGTCTTGGATAAACAAGTTGATGGTCTTTCCACCATTCTAAAATATTAAAGTTATCATCTTTTTGTATTTTTGTTGATAAATACAAATCAACATCATCTTTGTCATCATC